TTATCCTTCATCAGTTCCACCTCTTTCGATCAACAAATTAATCTAACAATTCTTCGATCGAAAACACCTGAAGAATATTTTTTTCAGTTTTTTCGGTTTGCGTGTATCCATTTGACTTGAGTTCATTGCGGTGTGGAACAAAGTATTCTTGACGTTTGCTAATCGAACCGCGAAAGATAATCTTTTATAAATAATAAAAAATACATTTCCCAAAACTCAAAACTCTTTTTTTCCCACTCCTATTGTGTTTGTACACCCCCGTCACAATATTTTATTATGCGCAGAGCGCTTGTTAAGGACAAGCTCTAAATGAAGGCCTGACCGCAAATTTAGTTTAAATATCACCAGTCATTGAATGGCTTTTTAAAATATCCTTAGAGCCTGACATACGTAGCAAGACAATCCGTCTGTCAGATTTTTATTAGAAGTTATAGTTGTATGATCTGCATGCAATTAAGGAAGTTATCATCTCCACCATCACATCCGTAAAAAAGGATTGATTAAAAACTTCGAGCAGTCAAGAAATTGTTTGGCGGCTCTCCACGAAACATTTAGTGGAAAATGTATCCTGTTTCACCAGCACTTCTTTCAGTTCATCCCACTCGTTGAAACAGTATTGTATGATACTAGCCTAAGGGGAATCGACTGAGGTAGTAATCAAAGCAATATGTGCCAAATTCTCAATTATCCTACTCAACCTAGGAATGTTCTAGCGTTTTATGCCCATTAGAATAACTCTAATCATTTTAAATACTTTTTGTAAGGTCACGGCAAACTTGTTTAATTTCAATACCTGTTCTAATGGGTTTTTTTAAGTGACAGATAAGCAGCGTCTGTGACATGGCATAGAGCAATTACTAACTCTTTTATTTCAACTTAACCAATTTTAATGGCACCTTAAGATAAATTTTAAATAATCTTACCTTCTTGGGATATTCGCACCACTTCGGCTAAGGTTAAGGTGCATTCTAAAGATTACAGAACATCTCCCTTCCTTTCATCTGACGGAGTCGACAAGTCTGAAAGCAAATAAATATTTCACCACTATCTTATAAAGTTCAAACATAGACATTTAGACGGTGAGTCCTACGTAAATTCCCTAGGGCAATATTTTAACTAAAAGGCATGCTGTTAACAAGCACACTAATTTTTTGACTTTATGCCATCAAGAGGAGGCCGACGCCGCAAATTTCACCATGCAGGTGCAATTTAAGACTAATTAACCCCACATCACCCAGTGTACTGCATATTCATCAGCTCCTTTCACACATGCTCTATTCTATCTTAAAAATTTCAGTCTTCAGGCATTAGTTGGGTAAATTCCTCTTGTGAAGGTGAGTAAATTTGTGATACTTAGCTCCGCTATTTGAGAAATTGTTTACGCTAACAATCTTCTTTATTTACATCCGCAACTACTAATTACAACTAAGGGCTATGATATAAAGGCTGAACTGACTTGCGTAAGCAGAACTTGTGAGAAGATTTTTTTCTTGTGAGGTATCCTACCACATAAATAATTTTCTTTCAAGAAAACGAGCACAGATTTCCTATCATCAGATCAAATTAAACAAAAGAGAAGAAAAAAACTTAGCCTGGATGTCATCAACGTTTAAGATAACAACAGATTCGACCAGAACCTGTTATTAATAATTTGGCTACCAACTGCTTGCGACGAAAACAAAATCACCTCAATTTTTCTCTTTTGCCGATAGAATGCACCAGAATGATATTAATGAAGAAGAATTGTTCCTTCTTTCGACTTGAAGATGAAATTCTACGTGTCACACTTGACAGCCGTTTTCATGATGCGTTGTGAAGTTTCATTTGTCGAAGATTGGCCTCAAAATTCAGACATTGCAACTGTAAATATTCAATATTTGTACATAGAAAGGAGGCGATGAGGCCGACTGTAAAAAAACCGAACGCCAGTGAAATGTAGGTACTTAACTGCGATCAAATTTACTTATGATCAACTGGATATACGCTTGTTTCTTACAGGCGGAGAAACTTAAGCTAACAACCATGAATTTTCACAAAAGGTATTCGAAGGTTCGCTTTATTCGAATCTATTTCAAACGTCTTAAACGTATCTATTGTTCTATCATAGTTGCGATAAAACAGTGATCCGGACGACTAGTGGAGTCGCAACAATTCCTTCAGTATGAGCTTCTTCTTAAGTTTTGCAAATGATCTTTAAATCGTGATGATGGCGGCGCACTACCTGACGGCTATTTATACCTCGTCAGAAAAAAAGGGCAGCTAATTAGTGAGTATATAAAAGGTCCTCTTGTTGCAGTGATTAGATCATCTCTGATGAAGGCACTAGACAGGAGTGTCGAAACGTTGGGTCTTTGAATTGTAACTTCTCGTTTACATTCATTAAATCTTTAAACCAGAGTAACATCAAACCATGTCTGATTGTCCAACTGGTTGCCTTATGAATTTTAATATATAATATTCAGAATTCTAGTTTGGCCATTAATGCCTTTTGATGCCAAATTTGATATACACAGGATACATGGAAGTCACAGTTTCTGCAACAGAAGTTAACCCAAATTTTATTTTTAACAATGTTCCTTATGATTTATGGCAACCCTCCCTCCCCCCCCCCCCCCATCGTAATTCACCTCGACTCTTCTCTATCTCTCTCTTCATCCATTTTGAAATCAATGGTGATCCTTTCAATCCTATTGGATCTAGGAAGTGTAGTTAATCTAGGTATATATCACATTGTCGCATCTTTTTCCCATTTTGCATATAACATGAAAGCATAAGCCTCACTGGCTCACCATTATAGACAATCAGCCAATCTGGACAAACAAACTTTGGTAATGACCAAAACCCTGCACCAAGGCGACTTAACTGACTTCTTCAGTATGTATGATTTGTTTACTCATTTCGGGTCATGTGGCAATACTCAAGAGAACTGTTTCTCTCAGATTTCCTCTAATTCACGTCTATATGTACGCATAATTTACAAACGATAAAGCTAGGACCCCTTAAGGCATGAAATAGGAAAAAAAAACGTGCAAGTTAATAAGGCGTATCGTACGATTTCCAAATTTTATTCCCAAGAGTAAAATTAATATTAATTGTCTAAGGGGATAATTTTATTTTAATCCTTTCACCCCCACGTGTTGCCATAAAATATTTTCTACCTTCAAAATCAAAGCATTGTCTTGATGATAGATGATAAGATGAAGAAAATATAACCTTGGCGATAACGTTTGATTCAAAGCCAAATTCTCATAAGTAAAGAAAAGGGAAAATAGAAGATAAGGTGGATTCACATAGATGTCTCATGAGTGAAACAAAATGTACGTTGGGGTATTACAAAAGATTTACCACTAGGGGAGGGAACATTAGATAAGATAACTCATTAATACTGTATGGAACACCTTTTCAAGAAAAAAAGGACAAAATATTAGGACATCGTAAACCAGTCCAGTCTCAATAGAGTATGCTAAGGCATGTCTGTAACTGACAGTAGATACACGTACCGTATGGGTGCCTATTTCTGCAGTTTACTTCGTTTAGATTTAATTAGCAAGTCTCCCTTCCAGCTGTTAAATGTGTCATTGAAAATTAGTTTTGAGGATTTTACACCCTCGAGCCAATAGGCTTGACTATACTCATGACCTGCTTGTTGAGCGATGTATTAAAACCGCCCTGAAAAACACCCAGAGAACAAACGGCCGTTAGGGACAGGAGGGACGGAGGGTTCTCAATCAAATTTGTCGAGTCAAGAACTGGCGACAAAAGAGGACTGTCATTAATTCAAATAGCAAATATTGGGTTCTGAATCGTTCATAAACACCGTTTAAAATTTGCACGAAAATCGGTACTCGAATGTTTTTTTTAACACTGAGGTCAAATGTCGAAAAATATCTCTCTTCACTACTGATAAATCATGGACTAGTGCACTAAGTCTAATATGAAATGCAGGTGTGGCTCAACGGAACCTTACTTGAAATGTTCCGAAACCCAAACATCCTTATCAGATTTTCATATGATATAGAATTCGCCGTGATCTGAAATTCATCACAATTACAGTCCTTAATCTGAGCCAAAATTGCCGGCTTATCCGCGATCTGCTGTACTTTCAAAGTACACTAATCTCGAATTAGTGATTTACAAAAGTCGCCAATCCCTGCCAATTTTGTGACGAAATTGCTACCCACCATCTTCTCAACACACCTGCCTGATTACTTCCGCTACGTTTTTACGCAGTGTTCCTTACTGAGTGAATCAAAACGCTGTCGATTACGGGAACTGATGGAAACAAAAATCGAATTCGGTACGAGCTTTTCCTCTCCCTTGTCCGATTAGTTTAGTCGCATATCCACTTTGCGTTTGAAAAGTTTTCAAGATGAATAAATCCGATTTTGTGCTCACTTAGTAGAAGACTTCTATTGGTCAGAGCTGGATAAAGAAAAGCGCATTGTGTTCGGCCCAAGTGTTTCTTAGAAGTGATTAACACACGTTCGACAGACTAAATTGACTATCTATTTCTTTTAGTTCTATTCGCACTTTCATATTCATGTAAATTGATGGCCATATTACCAATGATGACTTTCCTTTACACATTTTAATTTATTTCATTGTCGAGCTATAACCCATTTACATGTCTATGTGATAACAACGAACTTTCTAAAATGAATCCTGTACGTCCAAGACATGTCATTTCCTATCCGTGAAATTAAGCATTCAGTTTTTCTTTTTTTCCGGATGACTCTACGAGTGAAAAAAAAAAAACATAATAATGCCTTAGATTTTGACAAGAAAAAAATCCACGTTTCCTGTAGCTTCGTGAGAATAATGCTTGAGCTATAAAAACCATACTCTTTAAGCGTTCCAACAACTTTGTATCGATTTTATACGCATCTACACTAATTTAACGAAAGCTTTGTATTCTTATGTATTATTTTAATACATCCATCCCTCATGAATAAATAAATACAACTAGAGTAGCCGGGACGGGTTGACACGCTTCGCAGTTGAAGTGGGCGCGTGTTGAAAAGAGTCGTAGCCGTCCTGAGGAAAATCATATCTGATGTAAGGAAATGTTAACCAAGAATTATTCCATGAGATGGCGATGTATGCTTAGCTAAGAGCCTTTTAACGCTTGTGTAAAGGGAACCTCGTTCTTCAAGAAAACAACAAGTCGTTTTGCCGCAGGAAGTTCAAAACATAACAATCACTGGTTGAGTTCAGTTCTGTTTCCGCTTCCAAGGTAAAATTTACAAACAATTTTATTGCTTCTCTATTATATTTACACCAACATTTGAAAGTTAACGTTGGCGGTTTCCATTTCCGCATTAGAAATGATTTACCACTTGCCAATCACGCTTATAGATATTTACTTTAAAGCTCTACACTTCAAAATGCCACCGCTTGCTTTGAGCGTTTCTGGACTACTCTGATCGTCAGGTTTAGTTATATAGACGAAATCACTGTTTTTCAAGAAGGAGAACCAAAACAAAACAAAAAAAGAAGACTTTAACTCTGTTTTCACAACACGGCTGAGTTCAAGGTACTGTCATGTCATGTTGAATAGAATACCTCGAACACTAATACTATATGCAAATAAGACATGAAGGACACAGCAAGGGATTATTTGGTCACGTTTGGATAAATTAGTGCAATGTTAAGAAAGATGCCTCTAAAATGGAAGAAAATAACAGTAGAAAATGGTACAGGAACGCATTGCCGAGGAGAAAAAAAGGTTAACAAGAAAAACAATTTATAAGCTTAAGGTGTCACTGTGAAAAAACCACAATACCTTCCATTCAGTCGATGACAAATTAGCGGATTTGTTCAGTATGGAAAACAAAAGTTTATTCAATCAGCCAGAGGTATCATTGTATCACGTCATAAAGCCAATGAAATGCGCGGTTGAAACAAGGCTGCACCTGCTCCACAAGGCGGGAAATTCCTCACAAAACCAGACTGAAACGCTGTGGGTATAAGCTATGATAACAAAAACACCAAAACCCAAAATATCTCTTGTGTCGAACATCGGAAAAGGTAATGTTCATCAGATTTCTTAACTTATTGCACGTACACACCATAATGAACGCGTCTCAAAGTGTATTTGCCCATTTGTTTACGAATGGATAAAGCGAGATGCAAAGGAAATGTGAAACTTCTATATTCATATAACAGTGGGAGATATTCGTTTGGAACTAAATATTCATACGCTTGCCGCAGTGTTGTGAAAAAGTTCTATGTTCGCCCATGAAAAAACCCGATCCTCAGTTTGATGTTGATTTTCAAGCAAAAATATAGCATTGTTCTTATTTGTCATTTGATAATTTTCCGCATCGTAAGTTGTTATTCGCGCTTTCGTGTTCTGATATTTATCATTAATGAAGGTTGAGATAAATATCACAAACCCTGAAATCATTCATGGACTGTGAAAATTGCTCTTCTAATTAAATCTTAAATGTGATAGTAAGTCAAATTCAAAACCTTACAGAGATGTATTTTGACTAACTATATGATCAATTCATTCCCAAAAACAATGCACAAGAAAATACGTTGTTACAAAAATAATTACGGAATTCTTTTTTTAGGCCAGTCTCAGCCCTAACGGCAATATGGCGACGTAAAAAATTAGATATTTAAAATCTTAAAAATATATATTATATAGGTAGAAGAAGCTGTGTAAGAGGATAATCAACGAATTCTTGCTCTGGTAAAGTGTCGGAGAATTCTTGATGGCTACATTTAGAGAAAACATCGAATTATAGGAATTAAATGTTTTAACTAAAGTTATCCCGTACTCTAAGAAATGTTTCCACCGCCGGGTTCGGCTGTCAACAGCTATCGGTTTAATTTTTTACCAATAAATTAACGGAATTAAAAACTACATGTAAGTCCTTAGGCCTTTCATATGCGAACGAAAATCGGTGTTCTCTCAGTCCTCATCATGCACCAGACAAGTAAATTAAAGGTTCTGAAATAGAGCGTTTTCTGGACGCAAATCAAATTTCGGAAACACAAATTTTCAAAGGGATTAAGGGAGAGATAGCCCGGATCAACATCGGCCATACCAAGAATACTGTTAAGTTTATACAACAAAGTTTGTAGTGTACAGTTTTTAAGCAACGTACCACATATGAAATAAGAGGCTTAACTTGACCATTAAGAGGTAGTTGGGTGTCAGATGGCCCACATCAATATCGTCCACACCGAGAATACAGTCTAATTTATGTAACGTTTACAGGTAGCTTACCACACATGAGATACGACGCTTATCGTGACCACCAAATTTACATCCTGTAGGTTGCCGAAGGTGATACAACACACATAAGTGTTTCGGTAGCCTCCAGGGATAATATCACGTAAACCTTGCGGCGTATTTCAAGGCAAAACAATACCCTGTACTCTAAGCGAGATAGCCAATTAAAGGGAGGGAAATCTTTATTCAGACTTGCGATAGTTCTCATTGTGAAAACGTTTTTTTATTGAATACGTTGTCTTGTCACAATCTTGGGACAAAGAGAAAATGAGGAATCGAATTCAAGACTTTTGGATAGTTATAGCTATGTTTTCAGGTACCGTTGAAGTTGTTCGCAAAGAGACTTTTCGCAACAGAGCCATCTATTCAAGGTTTTATCTCCTACAAGTATCGTGCAAAGTTACAACAATAGATTAGAAGGCTATTTTTTCATTGAAGAAAAAATATATAGACGCGAATGACATGACCCTGAAAAAGTGTATAATATTTCCAAAGCTCTTACGGGCCACAATTCTCTGAACAGGAGATTGGCAGTTCTTTCATAATGTAAAATAAACTACTTCAAGAAAAAATGTGGCTAAAATGAACTTTTAAACTGCGCAGACTCAATAGAAGTGGCCCAAAATACAAATCAATAATCACATGATTCGACTTCTCCATTTCACAAATCAGTAATCGCATAATAAGATTTCTCCATTTTACCTGAGAAAGTGTATATTTCCTCTCAATGCACTTCAAAACAAGCGGTTTCTCTTTCTCTAGACCCTTTTGCTAGCAATCGGACACGAGTGGTTTCTTCTTCTCCAAATATTTCATCCCCAATTCACTTGAAGCAACTGGTTTCCCTTTGCCTAATCTCCCATCTTTCCACTAGTAAACGCGTTTTTCTACTTCCCTGATTCCTTTAAAGAACACTTGAAAACATGTAAGTTCTTCTTTAAATTAACTCCTCTTCATTTAATTGAAATGAAGAAGAGTGGCTCTCCTGCTTGGACCCCTTAACCTCCATTCCTGGTTCCTACTTATTACGACTGAAAACAAGCGTTTTCTCCTTCCCTAATTTCTCTCCATTTTATTTGAAAACAAAACGTTTTTACTTCCCCAATTGTTCTCCATTCCACTTGAAACCATGTATTTTCTCCTTTTCTGAATCCTCTCCAATTTTTTTTAAAAACGAGAGGTTTTTCAATCTCTTGTTTGTCTCAACTGCACCCTTAATTCAGAAAATTTGAAAACAAAACGTTTTTACTTCCCAAATTGTTCTCCATTTCACTTGAAACCATGTATTTTCTCCTTTTCTGAATCCTCTCCAATTTTTTTAAAAACGAGAGGTTTTTCAATCTCTTGTTTGTCTCTACTGCACCCTAAATTCAGCTGACCACGAACCGAAGTTTGTCCTCCTCTAATTCCTTGTCATTCCCTTCGAAATAAACGGTTTTCCTCTTCCCAGCTACTCCTACGTGTACTTAAGAAGAAGAGGTTACTCCTTCCCCACGCTTTCTTCATTTCAATTCAGACCCAACAGATTCTCTCTCTCTGGCTTAGAACAAGCAGTTTTATTCCATTCTTTCAATTCTGTGTATTACAAGGATAGAATGTCGCTGACCAAATCCAAGTAATCACATGCGTAGAACAGTGCGTAGTGTTAAACGAACTCGACAATAACTTCTGTCTATGATGTAAACAGCGTTTAATTGACAGAGACCAACGTTCCATATGAAATCAGTTAAAACGAATCTCATGCTGTAAGCTTACTAGTGAATCGTATGATGTCAACCGTATGCCGGTTCGAACTGAAATACAAAACTAAAATAGAAGCTAACGTAACTAACATATCGAAGATAAAACAGTACAAATGAAGGAACTATCGCTAATATTGCAATAACGACCGTAACATGGAAGTGTCAAATATAATCGGCACTTATATTGATCGCAAGGAAGGCTGCAAACGATTAATAAGCTACACGGAGTTTAACTCGGACGATAGCTTTATGTTAAATAACCCTATATTGGAGACATGGACCTAATCAAGCGCGTTTCCGAACATAAAAAAAATTAACCAACCGATTTAGTGACGATAGGCCATTTTATGGGTGATAAAGGGAGGCTTGACTGAAACGAATAACGATAGAAAAAGCCTAAGAATTAAGCCTAAAAAAAATCGATTACTTGCTTGGTTGACATATGCACTGAATTTGACTTGATAAGATAGATGAGTAACAGTGTAGAGAGAAACTATGGCCCAATGCCGAGTAGAAGTTGACGCAGTGGAATCTACTGATCTAACCGGGGAAAACCTCGTGAATATATCTAATCAAAGAACACGTTAGCCAAGCCAAGCGATAATGACTATTTCCTAACGGAAATAGCAGCTGAGGGCTGGTCAACCACAGCAGATTAAATTAGTAAGTAAGGCCTTGTTTGAAAGTGACAATTATATGATAACATCTTCGGTATAGTAAGTTCCTGCGACAAGATCAGAATTAACTTCACGTTTCAAAACCAACACATTCCACTTCACAAAGAACAGTCTGTCCTCTCAATTTCTATCGTTCTCGCGCCTCAAATTTCCGCCAAATAACGAACGCTTTGCTATGGTAATTTAAATTCAACATCAACTGACCAAAAAATAAAAGAGCAAATGATAATTGGGTCAAATTCTTAATAACAGAATCCAAATGCATTGGTGAATGCTGGAAATTAGCTAATAATCGCATCATCACTCATTACACCCTGAGCCAAATTTCAGGCAATATCTGATTCAAATCAAGATGATATGTAGCTGACCTTTACCGTTAGACATTCTCAATTATTTGAAATCAGCATGTTTTGAAACTTTATCCACTTTTGTCTGGTTTTCCTAATCTCAGTAAGCCTCCACATACAAGCCTCAATCACCAATGAGGTTTTTTAGACCAGGAACTAATAAAATGTTTTAAGTCGGCGCTTGAAAACCAAGAGTGGGAGACTAAGTTCAACACCCTTGAAAA